CCACGATGCCACTAGTGCTTACTGTGTCTTGTAAAACTATATAAACAGTGCTTCTCACCTGAGAGATTCATAGCTTTTCCTGAGCTTATGCTAAAGACAGCTTATTAGCATGCAAATAATACAGCAATATCTTTTCCTGGCTTGAATTGCACATGATTAAATTTTTGCCAATCAGTTTTACTTATTGAAAACATGCCTGATTTCTGCTCTTAGTGGTGCTCACTTGCTCACCCCCAGCATTTCTTTGTGGATCAGAGCATGCATCCTTACCTTTTTTATTCCTATACACTGAAGTAAGGGAAGAAGTTTTCATGGGTCTGCATGAAATTTCCTCTGTGATTTAATGCTGCCATCCACTCTGCTATCCTGCACAGTCTCCAGCTAGGTACACAAAGTTCATCTTTGAGAACAGTGCTTCTCTCAGTCTACCAGAACACCAAATTCTCCTGAATCTTCATCATAATGCAAGCTCTAAAATTTTTCTTCATTATCTTCTTCACCTTTACGCTTCCTCTCCAGCAATGGCCAGACTTCTCTTTTAAGCTTCCCATTTGAGCTCCTTTTATCCTGCCTGTGCCTCTTGCCCTTCATCTTCTCCACTGCATCAAGGGCTCTCACCTTCACTTTTGTCCCGGGGGTGGGAGAAGGAAGACAAGAAAAAAAAGTTCTTCAAGCTCTTCCAGGATGAAACCTTTGATCTGGAGTTGGTTCACCTCATAAGATCTGGTTCACATCCCATTCCTCAGGACTATTAAATTTTCTAGACAGGCATAATCAGAGTGAACACACCACAGCTGGAGAAGTTTGGGGACATTTACCAGACAGGAAACCAAACTCCACATTTTGCGTATTCTCCTGGTTTTGCTACATCCCACAAAACTTTGCATCCTTTTATCACCAGCACTTTCTTGTTAAAGACTGTAGCTGATGCCTTACTGTTGCGGCAGATCTTTGCAAGTGTCTTTTACTGGGATTCTCTGCCATGGAGGCAGCCCTCACAATTTCTCTTGTAATTACCTGAGGCCAACAACTAAACCACAAGAAGTGACAGTCAGCTTGGAGGATCCAGGATATCTCTGCTTTCAGCTTAACAGAAATCATCCACACATGGACAGGTAATTAATGAAGCTTCCCAACATCCTCAAATGGTCTGTACAAATTCCCAGAAGGACAAGCTGCCATCATGCAAGAAGGAGTTCAGTACCTGTCTTTGCTGCCCTCCTTGTAAATGAAAGTACTCCCATGGATATTGAGGGGAGGGGGATCAGGATGACACATGCTATAGCATGAGTCACTTTCTGTGGGGGTAGGCAATGGCTGTCTGAAAATTCAAGACTTGCTCTCACTAGCAAATACTGTAATTTTTGCCTTTGCAAGAATTAGCTTTGTGTTTGATGGAGTACTGGAATATTTTTTATAGGAGACATATTGCAGCAGACGCTTACAAATATGCATAATTTCATATATCTCATTGTCCATTAATACCTTTTATATGAACTGTTCTGCCTTAGAACACAATTTCTTCTTTATTTAACATTTGAAGTATTAAATAAAAACAACTTCAGAATTGATATTTTTCTTGACATTTTTATCAGACCTCAGTTTCTTCAGTCAGCTCTGTAAATTCAAATTAATCTGAAGTCCTGAAAAATTTGGCATGTTGTCAAGAGATGAAATTTTTAACATGGTATATGAAAACAAGTCATATTGTTCATCTGTCTCCCACAGAAGCCTGGAGAGAGTCTTTTGCTGAGAGTCTCTTGCTGCTTGGTTTTCATTTTTTAATGTGTCTGCCTTCTACAGGAAGGAATGAAGCTTTTTCCTGCATCACAAGAGCCATCTGCAAATCAAGAGACCTAAGAAGTTCAATATTTCTTTTTAATTCTGTTAAGAGCTAAATACATCAATAAAATACTTTATGCCTCCTACAACCCTTTGATGACCGAATTAACTAAATGAGATTGAAATGAGGAGTGATTTATAATGGGCTGTAATGAGAAATGAGAAATGAGTTCAACTGCCTTCCAAACAATTGACAGGGAATATGTTAGTTTTACAATGAGAGGGAAGAATTCTCCTTTGATCTCAGTGAGAGAAAAGTTTCTTTAGACATGATCCAATCCCAACAAATGTGCAGCAAAACGTTCATAAAATGGTGAGGGATTTTATCCCCTTTGCAAAAGTAGAGTGACTCAAAACCAAGTTACTGACATTTCTGTTAGAATTTTCATTTCTCATTGCCTGTGAGCAAAGCAGATCAACTTCCCCAGATTTCTAGAGCACAAAGTCAACTTATTCTGAACTTGAGTTTTTAAAACAGGAATAAAAACTGCACCTTAACTTTCATGAGAATTACTGTAGATCAAGATGGCTTTCTTCATGAACTCTACAAACATAAATACTAATGTTCAGATGTCAGGCTAAGTTGTGGCTTAGCATTGTGTGCCCATCCTGTGCACTGATCCAACAGAGCTGGATGCACACACCCAGATTTCTCATAGTGAGTCATCTCACCTAAGTTAAATTACTCCTGGCAACAAGGCAAATCAAATATCCACCTGGGCATATTTGGGAAAGCAGCTGATAGAACAGCCACAAGGAGGAGGCAGGAGAGGCTGAGCTGAACCCTGGGAAAGTAGGACCTGGCCAAAACAGGTACAGGACAGCAGAACCATTCGAAGAACTCTCATTTCACTTTCTGCAGCCACAGTCCTACAGATGATTCCACCTATGTACAGGTCCCTGACTGTGGGACCTGGCTGGATTCAGTACCTGGAGAACTGCCAGCTTAACCATGGCTTGCCCTGTTTGTGTAACACCTGGCTTTCCCTCTGCATGTGAAATTGATGTAGAACACTGCCCTGCAGGTTTGGGGAGTCCATATTGTGAAAAGATTTTGGGGGAAAAAAAATTAAAAAATCAGAATGGTAACTTATCCAGATCAGGGCAGCCTGCCATGAACCTAATGTAACTACTCATGTCCTGGCTAAGCAGCAGACTTCAGACTTGCACCATGAAGAGATCTCTTTATTGCTAGTGGTGCACTTACATTCCACACAAAAAACTCCAGTGACTGTCCACTAATGGCAAATCACCTGCCCCTGTCTATGGCCCAGGGCTACTCCCCCTCCTGGCACGGCTGCAGTGTGGGATGAGTCAGGGATGCCCTCACAGCAGTACACAGGACAGTAACTCATACAAGCCTCAGCACTGTTTACAGGACCACTGCCTCTCATTTCTCCCATGGTAGCTGACACAAAGACCCTTCTCACATCGATGAAAAGTGAGCATTGATCTGACACCAACTGTTGACAGGCTGCAAAAATATTGATGTGCATTTAGCAACAGTGCCCCAAGCCTTAGTAAATGAGAGTTCATAGTCTCCAGTTATTTTTTCCCATTATATTACCCTTTCTGCAATGTATATTAATCGGCTGTTTTGGTTTGCTATTTAGCAGCCAGCTTCCTTTTAAGCTAAAGCTCATTCCCTTAACTGTGTTTCCACAGCTCCTGCTCTGCCAAAAGGTTAAACAGACCTCGTTATCTGTTTCCTGCAGAGACCTAATTTCTACAAAAGGCCTTGAGCACGGCAATATGATTGGCAGGAAAAATAATAACGTTACAAAAAGCTTGCTCCAGTGACATCCTCCAACATTTCAGCAGATTAAGCAGTTAAGGATAAAAGATGGAGATCAAAATGTCTCCATTTCTCCTGAATTGCTGTTCCAAAATACAGCTGCCTATGAAACTGCAAGGCAGCCCCTGCTATAGCTCCGACAGCAGGGAGCAGGTACTCTCCCCCTTCCCCTGCATAAACCTCCCAGGCAGACCAGGCCCACTTCTTTTCCAGGAAAGACAAAACTACTACCTGGGGTGGCAGTTATCATTCCCAGGCACAGGATATCTGGCTCCCCACAGCTAAGCAGCCTGGGACAACCTACATGCAGCCCTGGTTCTCTTCAGAACCTCAGTCCTCTCAGTGGTCCAAGAGCCCACAAAACCCCATTAGACCACACACAAAAGGGGAAGGCAGGTATGGCTTTAAAACCCTGCTGGAAGAAGAGATTGCAAAGGAAACAGTCTTAAGTCCCACCTCTCCTTTTCATTCACCCCTACCTCCTCTAGTTTCCTCCAAAAGGAATGCAGTCCATGTGATCAGAGGTCACTCAAAAGCACAATTCAATGTGAACAAGCAAAAGAAGCAAAATACGCAGTGTAGGCGTCTATGGGGAGGAAGAGTTTTTTTCCTAGACTGTATGAAGTTGTAGGTGAGCACAGTGAAGCATCAAATCTGATAGCATTTGGGATAGTCCCATGTCACAAGAAGAGTGCTGCTATGTAATAATAATCAGGATTCATCAGTTTCTGTTGTGCTGCATTTGACTCACTTGCACAAGATTAGTATTTTAGCTATTCTGCCAAAAAACACATAGGAGAAAAGAAAGGAGACAAGTGAGACTCAAATCATCATTCACATCTCAAAGAGGAAGATCTCCATCAGGATCTTACAACCTCACCTGAAGGAACAGTTAGTTGTTTGGACTACACACTGATTTGTCTCAGAGTGCAGGAATCATGTTTGAAAGTCACTACAAACTGATAAAAAAAATTTTGAAAATATCAATGCTTATTGGGTATTGCATTCTGTACCATCCACCCACAGAATCCATCAGCAATATAACAAAATGTCATCGGGCCAGCCTCATTAGCAAAAGCTCTTGGAGATCATTAGCCTGAGTGTAGACCAACTGAAAGTGTAGGTAGGCATTAAATCCAACCCAAAATAATTAAGCAGCTTCAAGTGTCAGCAGATCTATAATCAGGGTGGTATTTAAGTTTATGCTCTTCTATGGCTTCAGTTATTATTACTGTAGCTGGAAAATGAAAGTCTTTAATATAGCAAGATGTCAGATCCTCAAACGTCATCCTCCCGACCATTTGGCAATGGCACTACTGTAGGAACACCTGACTTCTGTGTGAAGAAATCAGCAGTTCCACACTTAAGAACCACCATCTTGAATTTTATTCTGCAATTAGCAGGCAAGATGGTGCAGGAAGCTCAGCCCTTGTGAAAGGCAAAATAGTGCTGCTAACTCAAAAGTGTAATTCTGGACTCAGCAGGTCCCAGGAGAGGCTGGCCATCCTCCAGGCCTCTCTCAAGATGCCTGGAACCCCAGCTTATAGCCTCATGTTGTCCCTCTGGTGCCAGCACATCTCTGCAGAGGACCACATACCACCTTCAGAAGCACCCACATCGTGGGTACCCTCCCCCAGCTCTCTGAGAAGTCCAGGCTGTCAGAGGCCTGAGCACAGGAGGCTGAGAGATGGCTCATTTAAGTGCCATAAGTAATTATTTAAGAACAGCCATTTAGATCCAATTTGTACAATTTAAGTTTGTTAATAACAGTGCACTTAAGACCACTTCATATTTCAATTTTTTGAAAAAAGCAGCATTTTACTACTAAAATAATAACAAGAGACCTGTTTCTACTCATGTCTATATTTTAAAACTTTTGAGTAAGATTTACTCAGGCTTCACTATACAAAATGTCTTTCAGCATCTTAAGTGAAGCTGCACTTTTTAAAAAACAGAAATGTTTTTAGTTTCTAGAGGTTTCTAGAATGAATGTCTTGATAGGCTACCCTTCTGGGGCTCAGCAAGGCCTTGAGGAGTGTCTCCAGTGCTTGAGGTGGGAACACTGGCTGCAAGTGCACTGCATCAATGCGGATGCAGTCGCAGGAATTAGTCATCCTCTGAGTCACTCTCCCCTCTGGCTGGGACACACGATCTGATTGAGGACATGAGCTGGTCCTGGATCTGCTTCCTGGGGTTCTCTTCGAGATCTGTCTTGATGGCACCCGACTCAGAAATCTTCCACTCCAATTCTGTGCATAGGAAAACAAGAGTCATGAATGTAGGGGAGCAAACTGGAGAAAGCCCACCCTTGGCTCCCCCAAGTGACTTCCCTCATCATGCTATCATCACACCAGGGCCCTCCTCCCCTTCTTCTTCCATATTCCAAGCTCCTGCCCCGTTTACCACACCAGCTCCAGCCAAGCCCTCCTTTCCCGGTCCCTAGTGCTGGCACAGGTCTCAGCCCAGAGCACAAAGGTCAGGGTACTGCTCTGCACCCACCAGTGACATCCCCAGTGCCACCCTGCTCACCTTGCAAAAGAGGTGATGGACACAGAGCAGCAGCTTTAGAGGCAACTCTCCCAAAGTGAATTCTACCTCCTTCTAACCACATAAGGGCACAAGAGATGTTTGCACATCTATTGCCAGTGAAGGAATACTGCTCATACATTACAGCTGTTCCCATCATATACTGAATTCATCACAATCAGAAGAGGGAGGGAATAAACTTATTAAAGGGAGAAAATTTGTGGAAATTTAATTTACACATCTAAATTACAGGTGTTTTCCAAGGATGTACCTTGTAAACAGAATTCACCCCTTTGCCTCTAAATCACACGCTAAATATTAGTTCCTTAAGACAGTAAAGAGAGACTTCACCACTAACAGTAGGCCCAAATTGGACTGGATTGCTTCCCAGAAGTGGTAGAAAGACAATAAAACACATAAAGTTGAAACTACTTTCTCCTACTCCTGCTGACAATCCTATCAGCAAATCTAATTTCTTTCAGTTGTTACAGAATAATGAACACAACCTCACACTGTCTTAAATCTCCAGTGGAAGGCACCTGAGCTTAGGGGAGAAGGAAGGAAAACATAAAAGAGAAGTGCAGAAATTTCAGTACACAGCTTTCTGTGATGACTGAATTAAGCTGACTCAGTCAGGGACAACAGATAAACATATGCCATCATCTTAAAAATGAATCAAGGAGCCCTACAATCCAGTAAGCAAGTGCAGAGATTATCATGTCACTGCAGGCAAGGGCAGTCATTCATGTCCAAGATACCCTAAGAACATGGATGGGTATGGTCTACCCTTTAACATATCCAGCAAAATTTGTTTCACCAAACACATGACATAAATACTTGCAACACTCAAGACAAATATTTGTATGTTGGCCCACCACTGCTTTAACAAGCCAGCTATGTGGTTGAGCCATAGGGGTGAAAAAAAAAAAAATCTAATATAATTTTGAGTACCTCCCTTCTCCTCCTAAGCCTCATTTCTCTTATTCCCAGCAGAACAGTTCTGCTTTTCCTTTGGAAGAGCAGAGGTGCAGATGCTCACCATCCCTTGTCAGGTTCATGCCACCAAACACCAAAGGCCCAATAAACTGAGCTTTGATGTCTCCCTCCAGGTACACAAATATTGTGGGCAGGTTCTTATCAGGGTAATTGGGAATGCAGGTGGTAGAGATCGCTTTGATGAATTTCACGTCTCTGAACTTCTTTGCAAGCCCACTCAGATGTTGATTTATTAAGGCACAGAGAGGAATTCTGCAATAAAGAAGAATAGCAACAGACACGTATAAGGAGAAAACAAAAGACCATCCAAAAAGTAAACAGCTCCAGAAGAAAAGTCAGAAATATCAGACTGATGACTTTCTGGAAAGACAAAAGTACCAAAAGCAATTTCTGAATACTTTTGTTGTCCAGTATTCCAGCATTCAAAGGAGATCAGCACCACTGGAGATTTTGGTGTGTTGTGGGTTTTTTGTCTTAATATACTAGTAAGGCAACCTTCACCTCTACCCTCTGGTTTATGAATTTAAGATATTTAGAAATTGCATGAGCAAGAGCAAAATAAAAAACAAAGCTGCTCCTGGAAGAAGGTATGCAAATGATGATGAACACCTGTCAGGCAATTAGAGACAAATAACACAAGTATTTGTAACCCTTCCAAAAAAATCCTAGCAATGTAACAGACCTTTTTGAAAGTTTTTCTATCACGGTGACAGGACTGGAAACCTTGCTCACTCTGTTTGTATGCCACTAGAAACCAAGCTAAATACACACTGATCCTTCCTATTCACAGCTCCTTGTATTTAATCCAGAATAATCTCCAAAGTTTGGGTATTTCAGTGGCAGCAGCTACCTCTATGGAAGCTGTGTGGTACACATCTTGCTGTGTTATACAGATGTATAAAAAAGCCACTTCATGGTAACATCATTCCAGAATGAAGTTCAGCTGTCTTGACTCAACAGTATTGAAATTACTAAGTTACTTTTATCTCTTGGAACTCAAGAATCAGTCCTTAGTTCCACAGCAACTACACATTTACTTTGGAGCATTTTCAGCTATTGACAGTGCAAAATTTAATGGTTAAAAATAAATTCTTACCCTTGTTTGTAGAGGTGTAAGACTACCCATATACCTTTTCCAGCTTTTGTAACCTCCTGAACATAGTCTTTTCCCGAAATCTCCAAAACTTCCCCGAATTTATTCTTCATTTGAGCTGCCTTCATTTCTGCTAACCTTTGCTGCCTGAATAACCAGGAATGAAAAAGATATCTTGTGAATAGATGCATTTTTTTGACAGAACATCACTTGAAGGAGCTGGTTGAAACCTAGACTTCAGAGACAAATTACAAACTTCTTATAACCCCAGAGCAATAAAAGCAAAATGACACAGTAGATGCTCTTGTATTTGCATCATAAACTAAAACCATCAACGTGCAAAAAATACAACTATGTTTCAGGAAATTATTTTTTCCTCATTTCTGACCTCACTGAACATTTCTTCTGCAGATAATACACTACCAAACTAAATGGCAAAAGCCATGAGAGTTACGAGATGGAGGGAAACCAATACTAATTATGCAAATCTGCAGCACCTTAATCTCATTCACACAGAAACTAGGAAATACCGGAGGTGATTTTTAAAGCTGTCAGGATCTCCAGCCATACACTCAGCAGGTGCACATTATCTCTGCAAAGCTAGGTTGTAGATAAAGCATACCGAATTCAAACACTGTTATCCTTCTAAAGACACTTAGAAGCTCCACAAGAGACCAGAAACGCAACCCCCTTTTTTGATCATCCTAAAAACATCCTTTCTCTTCAACAATATCTAAAATCATATAAAAGAAAAACCCTCCAATTATCATTAAAGCCAAATTCTGCAAGCTGCTCTGACCTGTACATTTCAATAGCTCTCTCATCTTCCTCATTAAATTCATCTTCATTCTCTTCGAGCTCTTCCAGAGTCATGTCCTCATAAGTTTTCACTAGAATGGAAGAAACATAAAATCAGCAAAAACCTCAGGATTAAAACTCATCAACTTTTATCAGTCCAACAGAATTTATTTACTCTAAAGACAGATTAATAGGAAGTATGGGGTGGATTTTTCTAAATATTGTCTTAGAATAATAGAATGGCTTGGGTTGAAAGGAACTTTGAAGATCATCCAGTTCCAATCATTTCTGCCAAGGGTAGGGACACCTTCCCCTAGACCAGGCTTCTCAAAGGCTCATGAAACCTGGCCTTGAAAACTTCCAGCAATGGGACATCCACTACTTCTCTGTGAAACCTGTTCCAGTGCTTTACAACCCTCACAGCAAAGAACTTCTTCTTAATATCTAATCTAAGCCTATTCTCCCTCACCTTAAAGCCATTCCCCTATCACTACATGGTCTTGTAAAGTTGGAATTGCCCTTAGGAGTTGGGACTTCATTGATCCTCGTGGATCCCTCCCAACTCAGGATATTCTATGGTTCTATTCTGATTCTAAAAAAACCCTCCCCAGCTCTTTTGTCAGTCCTTTTGGCACTGCAAGGTGCTACAGTTCTTCCCCCAAGACTTCTCTTCTCCAGGCTGAGCAGTCCCAGCTTTCCCAACCTGTCATTATTATTCCTACTGGATTTTTATGAAGTGCTATGTGCTTTAGATATACAGATGGAAAGAATATGATGGAAAAGGCCTCTGAGCTGAAGGCTGTCTAGACTAGCACCCAGCTACCTGCACAAGCTTTCAGGTTTAGCAGCTGCAGCACAGACATGCACCTGGTAGACTCCCTTTGCACTCTTCTTGTTTCAGTTTTCAAACATTTACTTCCATAAAAATACAGAGTTGACACAAAGAACAAAGCTTTCCTGAGCTGGAATAATCCATGTGTTCAGGAACGTATTTGTTTGATACCATTAACAGCTGATCACCCTGCAGAGATGAAGCTTTGGTATCCCTACAGACCTGGAAAATGACACGTTGCTTTACAGGCATATTAATAATTATAATAAACATTGCTGCTGGCCATTTCTTTGAGAAAGCTTCCCCCAGGAGCCATTCCTAGGCTTGTTCTGCTGCTGCCTGAGCTGGCTGGTCACTCACCCAGAGATTTCTGAAGGATGGCAAACTGCTCCTCTTCCTTTGCCCGTTCCTGCTCCTCCAGGTTTTCCTTTGGAGGAAGGATACCTTTCTTGCGCAGAATGTCATTCCACTCCGTGTCTTTATTTGGATCCTAGAACAGAACAATAAATGGATGACATTTCTTCAAGATAAACTTTACCAGTTCCAGAACTTAACACAACTCCTAAACTGTAACTGGATGGATGGTGCCAGAAAGTCACAGTGCAAATCCTCCTGATGCCGAGGCTTCTTTCCAGCCCCAGACCTGCAGTACCCTTAAGACTGACTTTGTTTTATTCCATCCCACTCACAGCACATACAAGAGGTCTTTGCTGGGTGCCAAAGTTCAAAGCATTGTAACCACTGCTGCATCTCTCACAAAGTGCAACAAAAGCAGAGGGTATTAGCTGGGTATAGGGAAGCATGCTAGCCAGAGGGCTTCCTTATAGACCCTCAGCAGGACAGGCCACCAAATCAATGATCACTGCATCAGGAAGCACTAGTGACAAGACACGCACAGGCACAAACCTCACAGACCTAGCTCTCAGTACATGGGAAGTCTCCTTGTTAGATTCAAGTCAGAGCAACTATGTAAGTGCTTAGAGAAACGCAAGCCATCTCTATCAGCCAAGCACACTGCTAAGGATTCAGATCTGTATCTATAGCTAGACTATTCCTGAGATTTTACTGTAAAATAGTTGCAATAATCCTGCAAAACAAGGCAAATACACCCCTGCGTACTGTTAAAAAACTCAGTATAAGATTTTCCTATTTAGCAGGCAATTTTATTTTTTAAAATACAAGAAATTTCGGTGACAAGCACCCACAGGCTGGTTGTGCTGCCTTGCTATTTTGGCCTAGGTGCACTTTGGAAACTGAACAGACCTACTGCTTTGCAATAGCTGGTATGGGTACACCTCACACTAGCTCTGTTCACAGCCACGTCCCGTATCTCTTCTCAGACTAAACCCCAGTACTTTCGGACTATCGGGGACAGGAAGGGAGGGGTACGGGACAGAAGGGGAGAATAAAAAGAAGAAAATAAAGAAAAATAACAATGTAGCTCAGCAAACACAACACCAGATTTATTTTTTTTCCCCTGTCTCTGACCGCGGTCACCTTTCCCCCGAGCCCCCGTTTACTATAATTTACTAACACACCGATGCACTTCCTGAAACGCCCACCCGCCCACTACAGCAGTGAAAACATGTACCGTAGTTGCAAAAAAAAAGCATCAAACTACCACGAACCCAGCCACGGAGCTGCCGAACAACAGCCGAAAAACACCTC